ATATACCTGTCTTTTGTTTGACTGGAAGCCACAGGAGTGGATTTAATTCCAGACCTGAAGGGCAGCTAGGGGCCACAGTCTCAGGGGTTCCACCAGGCTCTATCAGACCAGCAAACCTGGTCCCTTTGTGTATGTGTGTGTGTGTGTGTGTGTGTGATTTTGACTTTTGTTGCACATTGTTCTCCCACTCTATCCAGGATCTCCTACATAGATCCTCCTCCAGGTGGTTGACAGTGGTAGCCAGGCACCATCTAGTTCTGGTCTCATAGTCATATAGCCTGAGAATTACATGCTGTACCAGTCACTTGGACTAATTGTTTCCATGTGTCTTTGGTTTTCTTCATTCTTATTTCCTCTAGATAAGGAGAGACCTATTGTTGCATCTAAATGGCCACTTGCAAGCTTTTAAGAACCTAGTCACTACTTGCCAAAGTAGGACATGGAACAATGGTTTTGTGTAGTATGTTATGCCACTTGAGACAAGCAATACCATTTGGAACTCTTCTAACAGAGCATAACATGATGCAGAAAGAGCCCCTCCCCATAAGCCATAAACGTACATATGCATACTTTATCACAGCTTTGGTAATGTGAGGGTCCTTTTCAGATCAATGGCACCACAAGCAGTGTACTTTTCCACTCCGTACAGGAGCAGCAAGACCCACTATGCCCATCAGTGCTGAAGAGGCCATGACACCTGATGGAATAGGGCTATGGTACAGCCTGCCACTACCACATACCCAGTAGAGTAGTAACAGTACCCAGCTGAACAGTACCAAAAATCCATTGCCATTGGGTTGATTCTGATTCGTGGTGACCTCATGTGTTTCAGAGTAGAACTGTACTCTACAGAGTTTTCAATGGCTGTGATCTTACAGAAGTATATCTCCAGGTCTTACTTTTGTGGTGCCCCTGGGTGATTCAAACCACAAAACTTTCTTTTGGTAGTGGATCTGTGAAAACTACAGTGCCCAGAGAGAACATCTCTATCTAGTGAATCAATAAAGTACCAATGTATAAATAATTAAAGACCAGTGACACATCCCTTGGGTGTCTCAAACATTTAGCAGACAGTTTTTTTTCAAGACCCCCTCCCACATCTGAAACACAGAGTTAAACCTCAGGGAAATACACTTATTCATTAATTCAGCAAATACTTATTTTGTATATTCTAAGAAGATATGCCAAGTTCCGTGAATGCTGTGGATATAATGATGATAGTGCTTTTACATCGTTTTGTGTGATAAAATGACATTATTTAAACAATTATATAAATATAAAATTTTAACTATGAAAAGAACCATGGTAGAGACAGATATGGTGCTATAAGCATCTATAATAGGAGGATTTTTACCTAATACGTGAGAACAAAGGGGCTCTGGTGGTGTAATGGTTAAGGCATTTGGCTGCTAACCAAAAGGTTGGTGGTTTGAACCCATCAGCTACTCCGTGGAAGAAAGATGAGGCAGTCTACTTCTGTAAAGATTTACAGCCTTGGAAACCCCATGGGGGTCATTATGAGTTAGAATCAAGATGGCAGTGAGTTTGGTTTGGTTTGGAAGTGAGAACAAGGAAAAAGAAAATGAGATCTGGGAGATTAATAGGCATTAGCAAGACAAAGAAGGGAGGGAAGAGTATTCTAGGCAGAGGAAATAGTTTGTGCAAGAGCCTTGTGGCAAAACAATGCAAAAACTTGAAAGTCAGTGTGATTAGAGAACACAACGGGAAGCATGATATAGTATGAGGCTGAAGATTCATGTAGGGGCAAGACCATACAGGGTCTTGTAGGTCATGATAAGGGATTTTACCTGATAGGATGTTACCTGATAAATATTATGAAATATCACTCAGTCATGTCACTCCTCTACTTAAAATCTTCCAAAGCCTTTCCATGATACTTTGGAGGAGAACCCCAAGTCCTTACCATGAGTTATAAAGCTCTGGTCCCTGGCTACATCTCCTACCCCCACCCCCATAGATCTGCTACAACAACACTAGTGTCCTTGCTATTCCTATAAAAATGCCACGCTTGCTCCCACCTGATGGCCATTGGACTTGCTGTTCATTCTATCTAGAGTTCTCTTTCCCCAGATACTTGCATGTCTGTCTCTCTCTCTCTCTCTCTCTCTCTCTCTCTCTCTCTCTTTGTTCAGGTCTCTGCTCAAATCTTATCTATTCAGAGAAGCCTTCTTTGATAAGGCCATCTAAAATAGCACCGTTAGAGCGATGGACCACGGGGCACCAGAGGACCAACATTCAAATTGAGGAAGTACAGGACAGACAGGATTGCATGGATATGAGGGGGAGAGTTACTGGGTAGGGAGGGGAGGAGACTGGGTTAGGGTTGGACATGGTAAATGGGGAGTGAAATGAAATGTACATGTAACATTGAATATAAAACAAGTTCTTGAAATAAAAATAAAATAGCACCCCTGACACTATTCCCTTGCCTATCAAATTTCTCCTCATAGCATTATCAGTTCCTCACATTTGATCATATATTTGTTTTTTTCTCTTTCACAGTAAAATGTAAGCTCTATGAGGGCTATTGTTATTAGCTGCCATTGAGTCAATTCCAACTCATGGTGAATCATGTGTGGAGAGTAGGACTGCAAGTACAATCTGTTTCTGGAGCTCAAGCAGATCAACCAAGCCAATGAGGGTGGCATTTTGATCCTACTTTTGACTAACAGAATTATCTATTAAAACCAGATTAGCCATTAAAAAGGAAAAGTACAAATTGAAGGACATTCTACAAGATACTTTGCCAGGACTCCTTAAAACCATTAAGGTCATCAAAAACAAGCAAAGTCAAATAGTGTGACAGTTAAGATTGTGTGTCAACTTGGCTGGGCCATGATTCTCAGTGATTTAGTACCTATGATGTTAGTCATTCCCATGATAAGATCTGATATAATCATGATGAGATCTGCTATGAGTAGCCAATCAGTTAAAATGGAGTTTCCTCTGGGATGTGGCCTGTTTCCAATACATATGGATGTCCTGGAAAAGCTCTCTGGCTTTTCGCTCAGGATCCTGCATCTGGCTCATCATCATCTGGACTTGAACAAGTGGCCTGCCGTATTGCCTGTGGATCTTGGGATTGTTGCCTTTGCAGTGTATGAGCCAACAATCTGCCATTTTACCTGCCAATCTTGGGTTCGACAGCCTCTGCAATTATGTGAGTCAGGAGAAGCCTCCAGCTTGATGTCTGAACCATACACTTGGGAATCGCCAGCCTCTACAACTGCATGAGCCATTTTCCTTGAGATAAATTTCTGTCTCTCTATATATATACACGGAGCTCTGCTGGTTCAGTGCCTAAGGCATTTGACTGCTAACCAGAAGGCTGGCAGTTCAAACCCACCAGCTGCTCCATGGAAGGAAGATGGGGCAATCTATTTATGTAAAGATTTACTGCCTTGGAAACACAGTGGGGGTCACTATGAGTTGGAATTGATTCGATGGCAGTGGGAGATATATATAGAGAGAGAGCAAGCTCTGGTAGTGTAGTGCCTAAGGCACTTGACTGCTAACCAGAAGGCTGGCGGTTCAAACCCACCAGCCACTCCTCGGAAGGAAGGTTGGGCAA